CCCCCCCCCCTTCTCCTGCCACCAGCGACAGATGGCTTCTTCACAAAACAAACATGGCCGCTCTCCAAATCTCGTGAGAGATTGTGGGCTTTTATTTCCGCGCGATCGAAGTAGTACAACTTTATCAGTGCCCCAATTTATGCAAACACTCACATTGTTGAAATAGCGAGAAAAGCATGATCTAGAAAAAAAATTAAAAATCCGAAGACAAAAGTATAATAATTATTAGCTGCCATTTTGACATTTAACACATTGGTCGTAGTTTATTGTCTTCTACAGGGTGACTATTTATTAACATTCGTTATAAGCTGATGAAAGACATAGCGAGAACTCTACAGAATCTGTAATATAGTATGTAATGTGCTTTGAAGAAATAATGAAAAACGTTCAGATCTCCTTTAAAAAAATCTGTACAATATGATAATGAGAAACAGGTTTAAAAAAAATCTATATACATTTGTAATATGGTAATGAGTTTTGAGAAAAACATTTAAAGAATTCGTTATACATTTGTAATATGGTAATGGCGTTAGAGAAAAAGGCTTAAAGAATTCTATATACATTTGTAATATGATAATGAGTTTTGAGAATAAGGCTTAAAGAATTCTATAATATGCATTTGTAATATTAAAATGAGTTTTGAGAAAAAGGCTTAAAGAATTTCTGTATACATTTGTAATATGAGAATGAGTTTTGAGAATAAAGTTTAAAGAATTCTTTATACATTTGTAATATGAGAATAAGTTTTGAGAATAAAGTTTAAAGAACTCTATTATACATTTGTAATATGGTAATGAGTTTTGAGAAAAAGGTTTAAAGAATTCTACACGTATTTGTAATATGAGAATGAGGTTGGAGAAAAACATTTTTAAAATTCAGTATAATATTATCATTAACGTGGAGTAATGATGGAAAATGTTTATAGAATTCTGAATGATGAATATGTTAATGAGCTTTGAGGAAAAAACAACATTTAAAGAGTTCTGCATACATTTGTAATATTATGATAATGAGGTTGGAGAGCAACATTATTTTTTGAAAACTCTGCATAATATAATCATGTGCTTGAGGTAATGTTGAAACATGTTTAAAGAATTACATATGGTGATATGATTGATAGCTTTGAGAAAAAAAAAACGTTAAAAGAATTATGTATGATGTAATAATAAGGTTGGAGTAAAAATGTTTTAAAATTCTGTATGATGTAATCATGGGCGTGGAGTAATGATGAACAGCGTTAAAAAACCTGTATGATAGTATGACAAAGAGCTTTGATTGGTTGATTGATTGATTGATTTAATAGATACTTTACGGCACTATAAACTCAATGTTGGTCATGTAAGTGCCAAAAGAGCTTTGAGAAAAAACGTTTTATAAATTTTGTAAGTTATAATAATGCGCGTTTAAGAAAAAAAGGAAAACGTTCGAAGTAGTCTGCATGATATAATAATGAGCTTTGAAAAAATGATGAACAGCACTTATAGAGTACTATATAATGATGCATAATTAATAATGGGGTCAGGGGAAATGATAAAAAACGTTTACAGAATTCTGTATAATATAATACTGATCTTTGAAGAAATGACGAACAACGTTTATAGAGTTCTGTATAATAATAATAATAATGATGAGCTTGAAGATATACGTTTAATTAAAGAATTCTGTATGATTTGATAATGAACTCCGAAGAAATGATGAGGAAAAGCGTCAAAGAATTGTGTGTGATATAATTAAAGATCTTTTGAAAAAAAAATGAACCATACTTTCAAGTTTATCTAGTATCTCGTTTTTTCTGCTGGGATATTGTATCCCTCTCAGTATCTCGCGTTCTTCTGGGATATTGTATCCCTCTCATCCTGGCTTGGGCCCTGAGCAACAAGGTAGAAGCTCGTGTCCTAAAATGATCGAAACTGTGTTGAATAAACGTTGCGTTTAAAGTACATTTAAAAAAGATCTTCGCGCCCTTTCGCC